TTACCCCCCCCCCCCCCCCCCCCAAAGTACGCTCGCAGCCCTGGAACATCGAGATGCCATGAAACTTTGGGGATATGTTAGGGATGTAAAAGTACGTCTATGATAAAATTTTCAGCCTCCTATCCTGATGTATAAGGTACATACGAACCAAAAAAGGGTCGAAAAATAGCCTATCGCTTACCCACGAAATCTCGATGGGTGTTCATTCAATTTGGCTCATCGTTTTTTCATATGAAAGAGCATGTCAGAGTGCAGTGCCTATGAGGGCCCTTTTTTTTAAATTGATATCTTTATAAAGAAAAAAAAGCTTCACGAATTCAGTCACTCAAAAATTCCTCAAAAAAATCATGCTTATATTATAAAGTCGCTTTTCAATATAATAATTAGAAAGTTTTATCAAAAAAAGGGCCCTCATAGGCACTGCATTCTGACATGCTCTTTCAAACAAAAAAAAATATTAGACTTTATATCGGATAATAACTGACTTCTAGTGGGTATGCGTAATTCGACCACCGTTTTGAGAAAAACGTGAAACAATTTTTTTATGTGAAATTTCCTAGAAACATTGTTTATTATGTGAATATCTGTGCTTAGTCAAAGGATATCATTTTCCTTCTTCTTCCGTAGTTTCTCTAGGAAAAGTTCTAATGAAGCTGTATAAAAAAACATCTATTAACTTGATAAAATGGTCTTTGAAGGTGTTCAAAATCTTATTTTTTTTGAAAAAAATCAATTTTTTAAAAAATTTACGTATGGTGCCGAAAATACACTTTTTTGCGAAAAACCCAGGATTTTGGGGAACGAAACCTGAAAATCATGTGTATTCTTAACTTTCAGGTATCATAGTATTCGGGTGTGCACTTATCTCAAATTTCGTTTTTCTAACGAAACTTGACATTTTTGAGGGGGGGGAGGGCTTAAAGCGAGCTGAAAATTAGATTTTTGTTTTTACCTTTATCTATAAGATTTTATTTAATATCTTTTCAAGGAATTTTATTGACAAATACATCTTGGATACGACAATTTTTACTTTCACATTCATCATATAAACAAAATTCAATTGTATCCGAAGAAATTCATTATGATCTTGTTTGGAAAATGATAAAAATCACAAATGAACATGAAATCATTACAAGTGTAGAAAATATTGCAGCTATAGGAAACATAGAGTGTGTATGTTGGTGCGATATTTCCTATGTCTCTATAATTTCTATCTTTCCTATATCTCTACTATTGATGTTTCATTGAATTTTTGTGGGTACTTATAGAAGTCGAATCAATTTCATTTGTCTAATGTATAATCAGTTTTGAATACCAATGTACATCAATTAATTTTAAATATATAATAATGTTCAACTTAAAACTGAAATGTCGTTTTCTTTTCGTGTAAAAATTAAAGAGAAACATTTATGCTTGCATATTTATTTTTCGGAAAAGAAGCTAATTGTTCAAGTGCTTTGCTCACTTTCACGAAAACTTTTGCTATTAAAATTTGAATGTTGAAGCATCTTGAAATGAAAATAGGCTCTGCAGAACGAACTTATCGTATAACATCTAGATATAGCACTAAAGAAAGTTTAGATCGTTAGCCGCTTGAAATTCTTGAGTTGTGTTGTTATCATAAAAAACTAATATTTTGCTATGTTTGTTATCCAAACTTTGGATTTTTTAGAAAGCTACAATAAAACTTGTACCTTGATATCAATTCGATCAAGTTCTTATAAATATATACTAATAAATTATTACAAGGTGACTATTCATTTATAGAAGAGTGAAGTTCGTTTCTTTTCTGAATTCAATTCACTAAATAATATTTCAGTACTTGTTT